TTTTATCCTTCTTAATCCTTGGATTATTAACTAAAAAGGAAATTAAATAAAAAATTTTAAAAAAGTTTTAGTATTTCATAAGACGATGTTAAAAAATAAAAAATAACAATTATTAAAAGCTTATATAGAATTGAACAAATATTTTTTTTATTTATGTTAATGTGAATATCGATTTTTGAAAAAAACTGAATTTAGTTTTTATATATTTCTTTACAAAAGAATGAATAATATTAAAATAAAACTATATTAATTTGAATCATTGAGTGGTTGAACCAAACATAATTTTAATTATTTAATTTAAAATAAGTTAATTTTAAAATATTCAAAAATAAATAAATAAATAGTAAATGCTTAGTCTAGTAGTTGCATATTTAATTTCTAAAAAAACGATAGTTCAATATTTTATACTAAGTGAGTTCGTAGTTTTCAGTCTAAAATCAAAAATACTATAAAAAAAGAAGTTAACTTATAAGGAATTTATTGACTAAATTTGAAGTTAGTAGACTAAAATAAAAATTATTACAAATTTGATTTCGATTAATTTTGATTATATAAATAAGAAACAAATTAATAAAACATGTAAATTCTTTTTCTTTTTCTTTCCTCCTTCTTAAATAAGTTTTTTTTTATTTCTATGCTATGCATGGCTAGTTCTTGAATACGGACCTCACGAGTAGAGCAACCATTTTTTTTTTCCATATTTGACTTTCAACTATTAATTAACTAATTTGAGTTTTTTCGTAAAAAAACCAAGAAACAATTATTTGAAATACAATTTTAATCTAAAAACGTATTTCAGAAAAATTATGCATATTAATCACACCACTATAATTTATAAAATTATCTAAATCTATTTTTAGACAGAAAAAATAATCATGTTCTAAAAATTTAATCCAAAATCCATACATATAGAAAAATAAATCAAAATTATTAATAAATATAATTTTAAATTAATTGGATGATAATTTAAAAAAAATAACAAATTAAATTAGTAAATTTTAAATAACAAAAATAATAAACAAAAATACGAAAACAAAATAAGATCAAATCACAATACAATCAAAGTTTGAAATTGAAAGAAAAATGTATAGAAAAATTGAGGACCATAAAGTTTTAAATCAATTGGATGAGAATTTTAAAAAATGACAAATTAAAGTAGTAAATTTTAAATAATAAAAATAATTAACAAAAAACGAAAACAAAATGGAATTTAATCATAACACAATTAAGGTTTGAAATTGAAAAAAGAGTATAAAAAAATTGAGGACTAAAAATATATTTCACACAAATTATATACATTAATCATGCCACTATAATTTAACAAGTCTCTAAATCTATTTTTCAAAAGAAAAAATAATAATGTTCTAAATATTTATTCCAAAATCCATACCTATACAAAAATAAATCAAAACTATTAGTAAATAGAATTTTAAATTTGTTGGATGAGAATTTAAAAAAAAATGACAAATTAAAATAATAAATTTTAAATAATAAAAATATTGAACAAAAAACACTAAAACAAAATGAAACCAAATCACAATACAATTAAAGTATGAAATTGGAAAAAAAAGCATGGAAAAATTGAGGAGCATATAATTTTAAATTAATTGGCTAAGAATTTTAAGAAAATGCCAAATTAAAGTAGTAAATTTAAAATAATAAAAATAATTAACAAAAAATACTTAAACAAAATGGGACCAAATCATAATATAATTAAAGTTTGAGAATGAAAAAAAGAAGAAGAGAATTTAAAAAAATGACAAATTAAAGCAACAAATCTTAAATAATTAAAATAATTAAAAAAATAAAATAAAATGGGATCAAATCACAATACAATTAAATTTTAAAATTGAATATATATAAAATTTGAGGACCAAAGTGTTACAAAAATATTATGAATAGTGAAAGGAATAGTGATTTATGAGTGTGTGAATATTAATTTATGAGTGTGTGAATACTATTTCAAATAGTGAATAAATAATAACCAATGGTTTTACTTTAGTTTTATGTATAATGTATAATATAATGTATAAAGTGTCTTCCTTTAATATTTTTAAAATTTTTATCTTTTGGGTTATATTGAGATATTCCATAAACTTTGAAAATGAAAATAAAATTTGTACATAGTGAAATAAAAATAAAAGATACAAAGTTTAATTAAAAGAATCAAAAGTTTTATATGAAGTTGAGAAAACATATAAACCTCAAGGAAGAAATTGAAATTTATCCAACAAAAAAATAAAACAATACGTACCCAAAAAGAGAAAATCCTTAACATATTAATTACCGAGATCAGCTCCTTCATAAAGGAAATTATTCTAGCACTATAAGATTACCGAGCTGATTTGGAAAGAGAAAATATTTCATAAAATAATATGAAAATTTAGTTATGGTCAATGCTAGTTAAAATAATTAAATAATCAATTTTTGAAACTAAAAAGATTAATTAATTTATTTCTCGAAACAAAAGAGATTAGTTTATAATTTATTTTGCAATTCAAGGACCTTGTTCATAAAAGGATAATAAAATTTTTATTTTATTATTTATAAATAATAAAATATTAAAATTAATTTATAAGTTTTTGAATAACAAATTATTTGTGCATATACACAAAAAACACTTAATATTTACTTTTTTTTATAAAAAAAATGAATACTTTGAAATCAATTCTTCTCAAATAAAATAATAACAAATATATTTAAAAAACAACATGACTATACCATACTTTTCAAATAGAATTTTTTATGCTAATATTATTTATTATTTTAAGAATATATGTATATATACCGATATACATAGTTTTAAAAATTTATATTCACAGCAATATTATAAAAAAATATTTAAAATCTTAATTTTTTTATGCAATTTCTTTTTAAATTAATTTTTTATTTTCTTGATATAATCTTATAAAATAAAAAAATAAATTTATGCATATTGTTTTAGGGTTTTTGATAAATTGGACCTTACATTTTAGATTATTATAAATTTTTATTTAAGAATCCATGCATAACAATATATATATATATATATATATATATATATATATATATATATATATATATATATATATATATATATATATATATTAAGAAGAAAATCCTTTAAAAAATAATTGAAATAATTAATTAAATACAAAATTTTTATTAAAAAAAATCATAAAGTTAGGTGAATATTTTTTGGATTTGATTTCAATAGATTTATTAAATCTATAGTGCGACAAAAACTATTAAATCATAATGATTGTTTTTCAAATGATTTCATCTATTGTGTTCGATCAATGTAGCGTAGCCAACCATCTTGTTAAAAAAAAAAAAATTGAGGTTTTTGAACAAGTGATTTTTACTATTTATCTCCTTACACATCATTGTAGATTATTGTAGTTATGAGTGGGATTTTTGTAATTTTAGACTATTTTTGAATATTTATATTTAAAGTTTACAACATGTTTCATTTTGGTTCCCAAGTTTTAAAATAAAATTTTGATCTCTTAGGTTGTTTGATCCCCCGGTGTGCTGGATTGGGCTTGCTTTTGTATGCCCAAGGCAGGCATGCTGCCTTGCCTCCTCTTTTTATTTTTATTTTTTTGGTTTTTTTTAATAAATTTATGTTTTTTCATTATTGAATTGGGTGTGAAAGTTATGAAAAATCAATTGTTAATTTTTTTCTCTTTTTCTTTTTCTTTTTTCTTGTTTTGTTTTTTTTTCTTTTTTTACCAATTTATGTTTTTTATTATTGAATTGGGTATGAAAATTATGAAAAATCAATTATTATTTTTTCACACAAGTTAGATTATGAAATATATACAATATGTTTTTAGATTTTAGAATATATATACATTACTCTTGTTGTTTTAAAATTGATCTCTTCGAGTTTATTGTTTCATATAAAGATTCTCATCAAATTAATTTAATTTTATTTTTATGTAATTTTAATTGTTAATAAATATTATTTATTTTCTATTATGTATGAATTTTTGAATAAGTTTTTTTTTTTGTATTTTTTTTTGCTTATATAATCAAATTTTAAAAATAGAATTCACGTGTTTTATTTATTTGTTCTTTACATAATCAAATTTTATCAAAATTAGTTTTATAGTTATTTGTTGCAATCGACCAACTTCAATATATTTTTTACAACTTAAATTTTTTGTAAAAAAAAAAAGATTTATGTTGCACACTCCGACCAAATGAGTATGGTCATGATGTATAAAAAATATATATTAGAGTTATTTATTTATTTTTAAAAATTAACTATGCATCTATAGTCATAAAACCAACCATTTTCTATTTTTTATATATTTTAAAATTAATTCTTTCATATAAAATAATTGAAATAATGTTTTAGAAGAATTGTCCAATAATTCAAATACAATTTTTATAATAATATTATTCATTTATGTTGTAAATAAATATGTATAAATCAAATGTACATATTTTCGAAAACATATTCTTCTCATCAATATTAAACAAGAATAATAAAGATCCATTTGTTCATTTTTATACAAGTTTTTATATTATTTATTTATTTATTTATTCGTTACAATTTTATGAAAAAATATTAAGATGTTTTTTTTTTAAATTTTAAATTTAGATTATTACAGGTTTTTATTTAAGAATAAATGCACAAAAAAGAACAATCACGTTTTTTTAACTCCAAAATTTATTAAAACATAAATAAAAAATAGATTCAAAATTTTGATAAAAAATTATAAAATTAGATGAAATTTTATCGTTAATTTAATATACTTATATTGATAATAGTATCGTATATGTTATCAAACTAAAATAAATATATTTAATTCGACTCATAGCATAACGCGAGAAGTCAATTAGTTGATTAATATATCATATCGTTGTTGTTTATACAAAGGTTTTCAAAATATTTTCATTTTAGTTGTATTTTAATTAATAATATTGTAAAAATATAATATAAATATTTTGAAACAAATAAAAATAAAAAATAAGACTTTTTTTTTTCCAGAACAGAAGAAGCAGTAAAGATGCTGAGGAGTATTAAATCATCACAAAATCAAATAATAAATGCTATTTGTTCTCTTTATAATAAATGGGGATGGGATGAAGATGGACCATTGGATACCCATTACAAAAGATCGAGACCGCCTTTCAACAACAATTTCTCAAGAAACCCTTCTCGAAAACGCCCTGGGGAGCTTGAACAGCGCGTTTGCAAGTATTGGATGGTGAATGGGGAATGCCCATATGGTGATTGCTGCAAGTTTTTGCATTCTTGGTACCGTACCAGTAGTACCAGTGGTGATGGTTGTTTTTTTATGTTGGCAAGGCTTGACGGTCATAAGAAGGTTGTTTGCGGTATCGCTCTCCCTACTTGGTCCGACAAACTTTTTAATTGGAGTAGAGATGGCACTGTTAGAATCTGGGACTGCCACTCTGGCAAGTGCAATCGAGTCATCAATCTTGGTGCTGAAGTTGGATGTCTTAGTAGTGAAGGCACTTGGGTATTTATTGGATTGCCTAATCTTGTCAAAGTTTGGAACTTGAATCGAGAAATTATTAATGACTTCTCTCTGGAAGGACCTGTTGGACAAGTCTATGCTTTGGCTGTTCATAATGACTTACTTTTTGCCGGGGCAGCTAATGGTGATATATTGGTATGGAAAGGGTGCTTTGAGGCCAATCCATTCAAATTAGTGGCAACCATCAAAGCACACAAACAGGCAGTTGTTTGTTTACGTGTTGACGCCGGAGCTTATCGATTGTATTCAGGCTCCATGGATAACACAGTGAATGCATTGGATCTTGAGACATTCCAGTGCAAACAGACAATGAAGGGGCACAATGGTGTTGTGATGTCGCTGTTTACCTGGCAGCACTTCTTGTTGACATGCTCTTTGGACCAGACAATGAAGGTGTGGGCTATGAAAGATGGAGGTTACTTGGAACTGGTGCATACACATGAGGAGAAGCACGGGATCCTTGATGTATTTGGCATGCAGGATGCTCAAGGAAAGCCTGTTCTGTTCTGTTCCTGCAATGACAATTGCGTTCGTCTGTACGAGTTGGACTCTTTCGCTGAGAGAGGCAGGATCCTTGCCAAGAAAGAGGTTCGGGAGATTCAGATAGGTCCTGGTGGCCTATTTTTCACTGGCGATGCAATTGGCATGGTAACTGTTTGGAATTGGTTAGCAGAGAGAAGTCAAGAGGCTTCATAAACAACAAAATTCTTGTATTATCAACTGACCTCTATAAATGCTAGCCATGCTATAATTGGTCAATTTGATAGCATATTCCAACATGTTTTAGGCTTTTTTTTTTGGGCTTTCATATTGCAATCTGTAACTATCAAAACTGTGCAGTGCTTATTCAAATAGAAAAGAATGATTCTTGCCTCTATTGTCTTTATTTTACTCTGGTTGTTAAATGGATGTTCAGTTATTCATTCAATAATAATTAAAAGCTTTTACAGAATTAAACCATGGACATTAGCTTTGTCGTACTTCGTCTAATTCTCTGCGCTATCCTTGCTGGAGCATACAGTTAATTCAGTTCTCTTCTAATAGCTTCACTTTAAAATAATTGTTGTGAATTCTTTCCATAGGTTAATTTTGCATATCCTGTGAATGACAAGGTTGGTTTAACAAATCTCTTTTCATATGTGATTGAATAATTCATATCAATATTTTTCGTCGTGGATTTCCTGTTTAAAGGCCTTTTTCTATTGATTTCTTTTTCTCATTATTATTTTAAGTTGCTAATAGAAACTTCAAATAGATGGTCAATACAATTACAGCAATCCTCTTGTATGCCATTTTCTATCCCGTTCATGTTAGTCCATTATGACTTGTGAACACCCCATTGTTAATTAATATTTGTTGAATATCACATTTTGATTAGAAGACCAAATGTTGAATTGTCTCTTCAATTTGGTCTTGGTCAATTCCAGTTTATATCTAGACTGAGCTTTTAATCCTGACAGTCTGCAGCAAGCCGTAGGAATTCAGCTATCCCGACTAGATCATGGTGTACGTGCATGACATGGAGAAAGTAAACTGTCATGTACTATGAGTTGAGGAACAGGTTCTAACGAATTAACTTCTTAAAGAAGTGAAAATTCTGCAAAATAGATGTGCTAAGATAGGACGCAAATGTTCAAACACAGTTACAGAACGTATTGCATGAGGCTCTTATTGCGAAAGACTTGCATGTGCATTGAAGTTGTTAAGCTGTTTTTCAGTATAAAATACACCATCTTAAATCATGAGTTCTTGTTGAATCAAGGACTTATGCAATAAATCCCCATGCATGTGTCATAACTCATTTTTGACTCAATAATTATTTTATCTTTTTTACAAAAAATTCAAAAAAATTATATGTTGATTTTTCAACAATTTTTATAATTTTTTTAGAATTATCACCTAATTTTAATTAAAAAAATTAAAAAGAAAAGAGAAGAAAATGAGTGGAAAAAAAAAGAATTGAATGAAAATCAAGAAGAAAAAAGAGAGAGGAAAATATAAGCACAAATAAATGGAAATAAAATGTATGGGGACTAAAGAATTTTGATCAAGGGGAGCAAGTAGAATAGGAAAAGAAAGATTGGTATGAAAATCAAGGAGAAAATGAGGAACCGAAACAAAATTTCCTCCAAATCTTAAAAATCAATATAAATACATCTCTTTCTACCACAAAAGAAAGAAGGAGTAGAAAACCCCAAGAAAGCTTAAGATATCTACTTCAAATCCCAAAAAAGTATCTTTTCTATTCTAAATATCTAAGAAGGTGAAATTCTAGGATCTTTTCTTTCTTGAAAGTCAATATGCTAGCAATAGAAATTTAGGTTTGATTTGAGGTAGCTTTTGGTCGAATTTTAGGTGGTCGTTTTGGGAAAGAGGTTGTCGGATTTTAGGAAAGTTTTGGGAGGCTTAGATTGTGGTTGCCATGGACAATGAGTAAAATATATATATATATATATATATATATTTTTGGTGGTTAATGGTGGTGCTTTTGTAACAGAGATGAGTGGAGAGAGATTTTTGCTTCCCTCTAGGTTTTTCTCTCCGAAAAAAGATGAATGGCCTCCCTCTAGGTTTTTTCTCATCCTCTTTTCTTTTTTGGGACAAAGAGATGCATTTATAGGAATTTGTAGGGTTTGAGATTAATTTTGTTTTGATCTCTCATTTTTGTCATGACCCCAAGAGTGGGCCATGACCGAAGGAATCACAAGGCCCATCTCAACTCAAGCAAGCCTCGGATACTAATCTAAAAACCTCAAATATCATTTCCTCATATACAATCTCAATTTACATTATCATAACTTATCAATCAATTCTTCAACCTTAATACAATTCATAATTCCAAGCTATTCTCATTTCAAGAACCAAGATCAATATCCATAATCAAATCTTAATACACTACCTATAACTATAACTATAGAGCATCGAAGATAAAGTAAATAAAAAACATACATAGGTTTTAAGGAATTATAATGAAGATAAGTTGCACGACCAAAGTGCCGACTTCATGAAAAGTAGCTAAAAGGAAGTAATAGTCGATCCGTCAATATTCCGCAAAACTAAAATAATGAGGGGTGAGCAAACCATGGCTCGGTAAGTAAACATCAAATAATATACTAAGGAATAGAAATGGACTATGGACGATGTTCTCAAATCCATGTAAAAAAGCATAGCTTATTCCTAAAAAACATATGCATATCAAAAACACACTTCATATCACAAATCCAAATGGTTTAAAACTATTTCATATCAATTCATCAATCATTTGTTCATACATATATCATACTTATCAACACACACACAACACACACACACATATATATATAGGTTTTATACACTCATGGAATAATAATGTATCATTGGATGTGAACACCTAAAGGTCACACCCATCGAGACTAAGTTTTCGTATATTGATTGACATACGATCTAGCACTACACCTCTCCTGCTAGATGGAACCTCATATCATTGAGCTCAAAGGCTACCCCCTAGTAGTTAGGTTCCCTAAGGTCTCGAAAACATTTTCAAAAATCAAACATATTTACACATTTTTAAATCGATATTTCAAATATCATTCATGCACTCATATAAAATACATGTATACTCAAAATAGTGAACACATCTTATCCATTCAAATTTCGAATTACATATCAATTTTAATAACACATTGTTCAAATTCGAAAACACATATTAAGTCATTTACCATTAAAATCTCATTTTAATTCATATCAAATCATTTTGATATGAAAACATTTCAAAACTTATGGTGTTCATTCTCATATAAGTTCTAATAGAATTGCCTATAAATCATTCATAAACAATGATGCATGAATGAACAAATCAATAACTCAAAAACATAGTACATAATATAATATTCACTCACAATACAATTTGAAGAACCAAACGAAATCAAGGTTATGATGGAGTCACCCACTCGAAGAATCTAGCATCACAAATGATGGCACATCCATCAATATCGTATCTCAATGAATGATTTAAAATGATGAAAGCAAGCTTATAAGATTATCGAACAAAATGGACTTGATTGAAAAAAACTCAAATTGAAAACCTAATTAGATTCTATGATCCCTCAATTGATTTTAAATAATCTCTTTATCATATTCCTTTACCAATCTTCAATCCATCCTTAAGCGATCAACTAATTCTCAATTTGATTAAATGATCAATTCTATTCTAATTCACCCAATAATCACTCTATTCTCTCTAATTATACTTTTATAACATAATTCCTCATTTTCTCCAAAATTCTTTCCAATTAAAATTTAAATTCGAATTTATGACTATTCGTGCTCTTCAACCTCTTAATTTCTAAAATTCATTCAATTTTACTTCAAATTAACTCCTTAATTCACTTGCCCCAAACAATTAAACATCAATTAAACATCTAGGATTACTTAATCAAACTTTTTCCTAAATAAGTCTTAAAACCCTAATCTTAATCTAATCAATTCCTCAAGCAATTCACCATTCAAAACAATTACATATCAATGTCATCATTAACTACACATAAACTTTGCAATTCAAAGATCAATGGATCAAAATTCTTACTTTCACACCGAGCTCCTCCAATCGAAATTTCTTCCTAGCTTTTCAAGCTTCTAAGCTTCAATCTAGCTATAATCCACTTAAACCAGACTAATTCATGTTTCCTTAAGCTAATTTAACATGAATTAGCTACGGAATCGAGGTGAAAATGGGGAGGGATTTTGGGAGAGAAAATGCATGAGAGAGGGAGAGAAAGAGAAGCAATTATCGCTCATATTTATGCTAGCCACATTTTTTATTTTTGTTTTTTATTTTTTATTTATTACATTTTTCTTCTCGATTTCCATACCAATCTTTGGCCTTTTCTTCTCAAATACTTCTCAATTTCAATTATTGCTCCTATTTATACTAGCCCTTTTTTATTTCACTTGCTCCACTCAATTAAAATTCTTTAGTCCCTATATATTTTATTTTCTTTAATATGTGCCCATATTTTCTTCTCTTTTTTCTTAATTTTCATCCATTCATTTTTTTTTTGCTCATTTTCTTCTCTTTTCTTTTTAATTTTTAATTAAATTAGGGCATGATCCTTAAAAAAATTATAAAAATACCTAAAAGTTATCAAATAACAATAAAAAACTATGCAACATGCAATGTTTTTAAATTTTTTTTTGAATTTTTTTTCCAAAAAATAATTATAAAAGGGGTAAAAAATAGGTTATGATAGTTGTCTTCTCTTTACTATATTTACAATGCAAAATCGATCAAGGTGTAAGCTTTTGATTAGTTTTGCTTAGTGAGTTTGTAAAGAAAAAGATTTGGAGAAATAATACAAACGACTTGTCCCGTTGGTTGTGTTCTCACGTACGACCTGCCTTGTTAGTAATGTTCTCATGGGCGACCAGTCCTTTTTAATGGTCTTGTTCTCAAGGATGGCCTATCCTAAATGATGGTCTATTGTTAGACGAGTTTGTCCGAAATGATGATCTATTGTTAGGCTATCGAGCCCGAATGATGATCAATTGTTAGGGGATCCTGCCTAAAATGATGGTCTATTGTTAGACGATCCTACTTAAATAATGGTCTATTGTTAGGCAACTTTGCTCGAATGGTGGTCTATTATTAGGCAACTTAAACTAAAATGATGGTCTATTGTTAAACGATCACACTTGAATGATGGCCTATTATTAAGCGA